GGATGGACACGTGACCAACATACCACTCTTGAACCCCGATGCTGTGTGTCTGATCACATGCCCTTCCGCCAGGCAACGTAGTGCCGTACAACAGCGGAACAAACAAAAATAGTCTTACGATATCACAAAAATCATGGACAATCCATAGAAAAGCCGCACCTGACTAAAAGCCGCAGGGTTCAAAGCTTGTGCAAAAAGTAGCGGCTTATAGCCCGACAATTACGGTAATCAACCACACTCACGAATTTGGACGTCTCTTTTGCTCCAAACTGAAACAGAAATCTGGATTTTTCTAGAACCAACTGAGGATCCCGATTGAAGAACTGAATTAAGACTTTTTGAAAAGATGTTCCTGATTTGGTTTCAAGCAGCCTGTGCTTTGAAGCAAACAACTTTGTTTCATGATAACTTTATTTTAAAAAAGTTATCCCAACCTACCTTCCCTGTGTGGAAAGAGTAACTGTCCTAATACATCATGAAGTAACTGTGATTAACCACATTTCTGTAAAGCTGAGTTTCACTGCCACACTGAGTCAGAAATCACTTACAAAGAAGTTCAGTGAACCACAGTGAGAGCCGTTATCCACACATGGAGAAAACCTGGAACAGGGCTGAGCCGTGCCAGGAGTGACCGACCTTCCAAAATTACTCCAAGAGCATCTGAGTCAATGTCTGGACTTCAGTCAGACTGAGGTGCGTCCGCGTGACCTTCAGCAGGCGTTCATGCTGGAAAACCTCCAGTGTGTCTGAATTCAAATAATCCTGAAAAGAAGACAAAATTCCTCCACAGTGATGTGAAAGACTCCCTGAATGGATCACAAACATGAGACTGCAGGACTTGCTGCCGAGGGTTGAACAGCCAGTTATCAGATCTAGAGGGCAGTTACTTTCGCACACAGGGCAGGTGGGTTTGATAACTCTTGTCTTGGTTTATCTTCGTTCAATATTAAAAAATAGTTTGTTGATTGGAAACATGTAAGTATGACAAATATGCAAAATAATGTGGAATGGGGAAAATACTTTCTCACAAACATAGTTTAACCTGTCAACATCCACCAGGTCACCAGGTGCAGGGCTAGACGTCCAATGAAGTCTCAGAGATTTCTTTATCTGAGTGTGATGGACGTAATAATAATGTGTTAGTCCCTGTAGGGAAATTACTTTCTCTGCATTTAACCCGTTCACCCAGTGAAGCAGTGGGCAGCCACCAATGCAGCGCCCGGAGAGCAGTGTGTGGGGACGGTACTTTGCTCAGGGGTACCTCAGGGTAGCCGTTCAGTGGAGTCAAACCCCGACCTT